CCACTCCTGGATCATGCATGTATCTCGAAACCATGCTTACCGCCTGTGACAAATCCGCTCTTGTACATACCATTGCATACATCAAGCTCCCTACCGCACTCGCATATGGAGTCTTCGACATCAACTCACGATCTTCAACTGACTTCGATGAAAGACCAGCTGAAAGCTTCAAATAGGCTCCCAAAGGTACACCAACTGGCTTCGTATCCATACTAACATGGAATCGCTGTAGAACCTTCTTCAAATAAGCCATCTGTGTCAAATAAATTCTGCCCTTCTTTTTGTCTCTGCCGATCTCCATCCCTAGAATGCGCTTCGCCTCACCCAAGTCCTTCATCTCAAACTCATTTGATAGCTGAACTTTCAACTCATCTATAGCCGACCTGGAAGTAGAGGCAACCAACATGTCATCGACATAAAGCAACAAATAGATGTACGCACCTCCTTTTAACTTGCGAAAATATACGCAAGGATCAAACTGGCTCCGAGTGTACGAATGACCAAGCATAAAACCATCAAATCGCCTATACCACTATCGAGGAGACTGTTTCAAACCATATAGCGATTTCTTCAATCTGCAAACTAATTTTTCCTTCCCTGTAGCTCGGAATCCCAATGGCTGAGTCATATATATTTCTTCATCAAGATCACCATGAAGAAATGCCGTCTTCACATCCAACTGATCTAACTCCAAACCATACTGTGCCACCAAAGCTAGCAAAATCCGAATCGAAGAATGCTTCACCACCGGAGAGAAAACCTTATTATAGTCAATACCTTCCTCCTGTGCATAGCCATTCGCAACCAACCTAGCCTTGAACCTCAATGGAGTGCCCTCAATGCCCTCCTTCTTCGTGTATACCCACTTGCAACCAATTGCCTTCCGCCCATTTGGAAGCTCAACAAGCTCCCATGTATCGTTCTTATGAAGAGATTCCATCTCCTCCTGCATAGCCACCTGCCACGAATCAGCCTCCGAACTCTGCTCGGCCTCTCTGAATGTAGTAGGCACTAACTCATCGATACTCTCCACCGGAAGTGCATACGCAACTGTGTCGGCATACCGTGCTGGCATCTGTATGTTTCTCCTCTGTCTCCGAGCCGCAATCGAATCCTGAACCTGAGCCGTCGGTTCTTGATCCTGCACATTTGTACTCGTATCCTCCGTGTCACCGTCGTGCTCGCCTGACGTCACCTCAGTCAGCACCTGCATGGATACTGTACTATCTGGACAATATGGAGCTGCATCGATCTCCACCACCTGCGATATCTCCTCCGTCGGGTCGCTCTCCACCTGATGAGAGCTGGGAAGCTTCAAGATAGAAGCCTTATCGAATGTGACATCCCTACTCAGCACAATCTTCTTATCCACTGGATCCCAAAGCTTGCATCCCTTGACACCACGCTTGAATCCTACAAATATGGCCTTCCTAGCTCGAGGTTCCAATTTATCAGTTCTAACATGATAATATGCAGGGCACCCAAATACCTTGAGCTGGTCATAATCATGTGCTGGCTTTCCCGACCACTTCTCCATAGGGGTTTTCCCCTCAATCGCAAAAGTGACGAACCAATGTCGACCACCAAGTGATGCAGTCTTGGTGGGACCCCAAACGTCTGTGTGCACGTAATCCAGGATGCCCCTCGTCTGATGAATGGCAGTCCCGAACTTCACCTTCGTCTTCTTGCCAAGAACACAGTGCTCACAGAACTCAATCTTCCCACTCTTGGCTCCCTTCAATAGCCCCTGCTTGCACAATGCCTGCAGTGACTTTTCACCTGTGTGCCCTAATCTATAGTGCCAAAGTCTGCTCATGTCCGCTTCTGAAATAACCGAAGCAACCTGGCCAATCTCGGTGCTTCCCTTCAGATAATACAAATTCCGATTGCGGACTCCCCTCATCACTATCAATGATCCCTTAGTAACCTTCGCTACAGCGTTTTCGAAAGTCACCTTGAATCCCTTCGCCTCCAAAGCTCCAACTGAGATTAGATTTTTCTTCAGTTGAGGAACAAATCTCACCTCCTTTAACTCACGGACTACTCCATTGTGCATCCTAATCCGTACGGTACCTATCCTACAAACGCCACAGGATTGATCATTTCCCATGACAACAACACCTCCGTCGACTTTCTCAAAAGATGCAAACCAGTCTCGCCTAGGGGTCACATGAAAAGCAGCGCCGGAATCAAGCATCCAATCTAATACATCCACATAGTTCACCTCCGGAGTAATCAGTAGAGAAAAGCACGAATCATCGGAATCATCGCCTTTCGCAATGTTCACCTCATTGGCCTTCGGGCCCTTTTTCTTGCCATTCTCTTTCTCCTTGAGCTTCGGGCAGTCTCTCTTCCAATGTCCCTGCTCCTTGCAGAATGCACATTGGTTCTTTGTTAATTGGTGGCGGCCTCTAGACTTTGACCTTCCTCTATTACCACCTTTCGGATATGGGCTTCTACCTCTCGTCGACAAGGCCTCTCCTGAAGTACTAGCGCGGGAAGTCTCCTTATCCTTCCTCCTCAAATCGTAGTTCGTCAAAGCGTTAGTCACTAAGATCTTCCGTTCAACAAAGTGAGCACGAAGGTATCATACTCCTCATCCGGTAAGGAGCCCAACAAAATAATCACCTTGTACTCATCCGATATCTTCTCATCAACATTCGCCAAGTCCGACAACAACTTAGTGTAGTTGTTCACATGCGCCGCTAGTGAGGTACCTCTGGACATCTGAAATCTGAAGAGTCTTCGCAGCAAGTGCAACCTGTTCTCAACTCTTTGTGAGATACTTGTTGTTGAAAATTTTCCACATCTTCATTGCAGACGTCACCCCAATCATATCATATTTCAGCTCCTGTTCCAAACAGGACCTGATCACCCCACAAGCGTTCCTATTCATCTTCTCCCATATCGTCTCATCATATTTAGGTGGTCTCTCGTGGACCATGATGGTCTCTTCCAAATTCTGAGCATTGAGCGCATCCTGTACGTCGCTCATCCACAAACCAAAGTTGATTTTGCTGTCATACTTCACCACACTAATCTTAGCGTTCTGAAAACCAACTTGTATTGTACTCGCCATCGATTTGCTGCTTTCACCTTCTTCTCCCATTACGAACTAACTCCAAATTATAGAGAAAGAACAAATTTGATAGAAATTAGGAACCACCCAACTGAATCCTAGATCGGATTCCAACTAGATCTCCTATCCACACGAGGAAAACGAAATCTTCAACGGCAACTCCTAATGCTATCTCCACCGAAGCCTAGAACTCCAAGAACCAAGCTTCCAACTGAATCTTCCTCCACCTAATCCAAAACACCCTAGATCTGAAATCTGGGCTCTGATACCACTTGTTGCGTGCATCGGAAATTTCGGCAGCACTTCGGCAGCACAACAAGAGAGTCAGGTCGCAATAAGAATTCTTGTTTCTCAAAGGGAACAAGAATCTGAAGCCTAATATCCCATCAAAGTGGGATATTAGCTCTTCCTCTCGTTAGCTCTAGGACTGCGCGTCGAGGGAACCTAAAAGGCTATTACAAATCACACAAAAGCAGTTCAACCAATTTTTACGTGGTTCGGCAAATTGCCTACGTCCACGGGGCAAGGAGGGGGGAGATCTACTAATAGAGGGAGAGATTACAACTAGGGTTTATAATCACTCACAATCTAAACCCTCAAACAAACTCTCAAATCCCTCACACTATCTCTCTACAAAAGAGATGCACAAAACCCTAAATAACAAAACAATGGTGACTGCTTCTTTTATCCTCCAGCCGCAAAAGAATAACCAAGCCAAGAAACAAAGCTGCCTTGCACTGCCCTCTTGCACGAAAACCTAGAAACCAAATACATCAATATATATAGCAGCATATGTATTCGGGTGGGCCGGCCTTGGGTTCTCTCTTCACGCGTGATTGATTCACGCGGTTTTGTTTTTGAGTGGTACTACAGGCACACCCTTCCACCACACCTTGGGGCACACCCCTCTCATAGCTACAGTGCACGGGGCCCACTTTAGATTTTAAAAAAAAAATCTAAAGTGGGCCCCGTGCACTGTAGCTGTGAGAGGGGTGTGCCCCAAGGTGTGGTGGAAGGGTGTGCCTGTAGTGTTATTTTTTGTTTTTCTCCTCACATGGGTTGTGGCCCCCACATCTTCACAGGTATCTCCTATCAAATTCAAAACATTTACAGTTAATGATGTGCATATCTCAAGTTGCTTTCATCAGATGTCTGATTCCATTATTGACCTTGCCAGAAGCTTTACTGCGGCAAATTATCCTAATTGTTTCTGAATTTGTGTGAATAACGCCCATGATATCTTATTTACAAAGTTCAGAGGAGTTTAATGCCAGAGCCCCCTAAAGTTAAGGTTGTTTTGTGAAAAATATTTCCTAAATTTTATTTTAAAAACCTCAGAAAACTCAGGTTTCTATAAACCTATTCTATTGCTTTGGACCAATACAATTTAACTGTTCATAAAGTAATAGAGAGTTAAAATTGACAGAATGAATCCAGTGTGAAAGACAAACGAGAGGATATATACAAATCTATTTTTATAATAAAAAAATCTTACCAGCTCAGAAAACATATACTTATGCTCACAGGGAATCTTAATATAAAAACTTTATAAATTCACGGATCCAATATCCTTGTCGTCCTATTATAGAGAGACTTCAAAATAACCCCATGTGGGTTCAAGCAGGTCTTACACACATATACTCCCACGATCATCCATATTTGCAAATTTAACCCTAAATCTAGGTATTTGCTAATTTTCCTCCAAACTTAATATTTCAAGTTTTTAAACGATATGGAGGGGTAAATTTCAGCTAAACAAACAAGTAAAATAGAAATTATGAATATATATGTTGGAAATATTCCTTAAATGCAACTTTTGAGGGTATTTTAGCTCAATGTGATAGACTTGGACGGTAAGTTTGCAAATATGGAGGATTTGCCGGTTTATATGTGAAATTCCCTAATTCAAACATCCATTACTTGATGATATAAAACCTCATAGTGGAGAAAAGGAAACATTTCATTCCTCAATCTCCCAAAGCAATCGTAAGTTAGTGAACCGCCAAATATATATACTTTTTTTTTTCTCATTAGTTCGATCTGCTTCTCTTATTAAATCCTTGCTAAATTTGTCCGCCATTTTTTTATTTTCATCGTTTTGATCAGATCTGAGGTCGGGGAGCAGTAAGCTACGATCAAAACAATGGCTTTGGTAAGTTTTCTTAAGCGAGGAAATTACATGCAAAAAGCTTAGTTGAACTCTTAAAATTAATTATGCTGAAATTTTACTGTTAGTGTATTCTGAATATCTACATTTTACTTGTACTGCGTTTAAAAATTAGCGTCCTGGAATGAACAACAATGAAGCTTTTACCGTTAGGGTATCTAACTGTCAAAGTAGAACTTCAGGGTAGCAGAGTAAACTTTGGGTAGCGAAGTGTTAATGATCCTTATTAATTTTTCAAAAATATCGTGGTATTGATAACCTTTCAGTCTGAGGATTTGCGTGATGGATATGCATATTTGAATTTTGTGTTATGGGTTTATTGATAAACTGAAGTATTTCCTTCTTAGGTGATGCATGCTGCCAACAATAAAAACGCTTGGAAAGGGCTTATCGCTGCAGAATACAGTGGGGTCGAGGTTGAACTCGCAAGAAACTTTGAGTTGGGGGTTTCAAATAGGACTCCTGAATTCATCAAGATGAATCCCATGGGAAAGGTATATACTTTTATTTCAATGCGATCAGTCTCGCTACTCGTATACTACTCGTATACGTGCTTCTATGCTCTAAAATAATGTTATGTCTGTTCAGATGCCTGTATTGGAGACACCTGACGGTATAGTTACTGAAAGCAACACTATAGCTCGCTACGGTACCTTATTGTCATATTGTTCTTTCATTTTATAAATTTGGATGGCTAATGATTACTTAAACATCTCATAGCTTGCCTACATTAATTATACTTGCATACCCTTACTTGTTTCTGGCAGCACTTATACCCTAAAGTCTATGAAATCGGCATTTTAGTATCTTCTATTATGCAAATATGAGAATACTCGTCCGAAAATTCTCATATAACGCTAACAAGTTAATTTTAGAACTTTTTGACCCTTAATGTCTGTGGGATCTACTGTTAAAACCTTCCTGAATTATATTTGAACTAAGGGGAAAGCTGTAAGGTATTTTAAGTGCTAAATGGCCAAATTAGATTCATTGCTTGCATCTTTTTGTTTCCAGTAACTTGCTTGAAACCAGACAATCCTCTTTATGGGTCTTCCTTGATTGAAAATGTAAGATCTCCATCCATTATCGTCACCTTGTTAAAAATTATCACGTATTATGTTTCGACCTTAATGCTTGGATTTTACAGGCCAAAATTGAGCAATGGGTGGACTTTGCTGCAACTGAACTTGACCCAAGCATTGCAGGGTGGGTGTATCCTAGAGTTGGATTCAGGCCATTTATTCAAGGGGTATCCGTCCCAATCCTTTAGCTAGGCATCCTTACGTATTTTCCACCTGTACTTTAATTTTTTTTTTAATCTGTTCACAGGTTGAGGAACTTTCAATCTCTAACCTGAAGAGGATAATGGAAGCTCTCAACAGTCATCTAGCTTCAAATACTTATCTTGTAGGGAATTCAGTGACATTGGCCGATGTCGTCATGACATGCAACCTGCATCCTGGATTCAATCGGGTTATGACGAAGAGCTTCACATCACAATATCCCCATGTTGAAAGGTACTATTGGACTCTTGTTAATCAGCCAAACTTCCGCAAGGTAATGGGCGAGGCAAAGCAGGCAGAGTCGATTCTCCCTCTTCCATCGGCACAGAAGCCTGCACAGGTTGCACAGACTAAAGAGCCGGAGCCTGAAGTCAAGAAGGTGCCCGCAAAGGATGTTTCTGCTGACAAACAGGAGGCACCCAGACCGAAGCTCAAAAACCAACTTGATCTCTTGCCACCAAGCAGGATGATATTGGATGAGTGGAAAAGGCTTGTACTCTAACACTAAGACATTTAACTTTTGCGAAGTGGCAAATAAGGGTCATTTCCTTTCTACTATTTTCAGGATTGGCTTTGATAACTTTCTCTATTTTAAAAATTAAGTTTAACAGTGAACTTTTGACTAATGCGGCTTCAGGATTCTGGGATATGTACGATCCTGAGGGCAATTCTCTATGGTTCTGTGAGTTCAAGTATACGACTAGAATTGTACAAATCGAGGATCAGGAGCCTTTTGAGGGAGAGGAATTGCGCTGGATGCCAAGTGCTTCAAATAAACAGAATCTTGAAGTTAAAGTAGAAGTTTAGCCAATTATGCGAGGTTTACTCTGAGCAAATTCGGGGATTCAGAGGTTTAAGTAGATTTTCCTCTGAGGCCAGAGTATCATGTTTGTTCGAGAAACGTTTGCGATTTTCGCAGGCAGGTCTTGCTGTGTTTTAAGCTTTCGCCTCTCACCTTGCAGGGTATAATGCTACTTCTGTTTACCTAGGACTTTAGTGAGTTAAGCAGTTGATGGATCTGGGTATTTCCTATGTTATCAGATGTATCACAAGCTCTCGTGTTCACTTTCATCGGATGTTTACCTTGCATCATTAATCTTGCCAAAATGAATTTACTTCAATAAAATCCTATAGTTTATGTTCTGCATTCTGTGTGATAATGGTAATACATATTACCGGTTCCGGGATATCCGAGGTCTGTTCTGACAAACTGTTGGAAGCATAAGTCTTAGTACCTCCGTTCTGACAAACCTTGGTTATAGTTGTGTATTTCATGCCAAAACACAACATTTACATTGCTTTCCTGAAACCAAAGGCAACATTTACTAAGCGATCCCGTCAACTTCAGCTAACAGCTGATTATGCTTCCACAGGGAACAGCCCATGTAGGTATTGTCACAAAACATCTATGTATCTTAATATTACATTAATGCACAAGAAATTGTACTGTTGTACATCATGAAGGGACATGCCAATACTCAAGTTGAGTTGGCTTATGAAATAAACCCATAACTTAACAAAAACCTGGGGAATCAGCTTAACTATCAATCATCGGGATCACTTCCGTTGAGGTTTGTATTGATGTAGAATTCTGAGTCGACACCATCAACTATTCTTCCCCTGCAGAATAAGAACAAGTCATCATTTCATCATTTGAAGATTCATGTGAAAAATGATCAAATGCCTAGAAGTAATCTAACCTTTCTAAGACAAACTTTCCCTCCTTGTACTTTTGGCTCTTCAAATGTGCGGCTTCCTGAAAGTAACCAGAAAAATCACGCTCGAATGCATAAGATTATAAATGCTCGAGATCAAGTTGGTAAGTTGTAATTTAGATTTGCTTTTTCACTAAATTCGAGAAAACTATTTAGTTACATAATTCCCTCAGGTAACCCCCATTAAAATTTCGCTACACTGTTGTGTCCAAACACAAAATCCAATTATAAGAAAGCAATACTAACAAATTCAAACTTTATTAATTACTACTGTATGCAGCTAAACTAATTAAAAAACAATAGCACAGTTCAGCAGATCCATTGCATGTAACTGGACTTTGGAGGTGGTGTTAGTGATGTAAGATTTTTGTTTAACCATCTAAAAAAGCTCTGATGCATTTTGACTGAGGTGTTCCGATTTTCTAATGACCATTTTACTTTAGCGTTCAGTTTTCTGAATGTTTTGTTTTGATGAGTTAATGAAAAAGTTTGCCAAGATGGTTCTAGACAAGCTATTCTGGGTTATAGTCTATGAGAAATCGTGAGATCAAATGCGTACCCTAGTCCTAGAGAAGCCAATAATTTGGGAGATCTGATAAATATTTCTGTGCAAAAACACAAGTGATTTGCTCGAAAATGGTAAAAATTTATGGGTTATAGTCCATGATAAAGCACTAATTTGGGAGATAGGCTAAAAATTTCTATGCGAAAATACAAGTAATTTGGACGAAAATGACCAAAACTGTAGGTTACAATCCATGAGAAATAGTAAAATTTTGAGCTTGCATAAATATTTACATGTGGGAAAGCAATAAGTGAAGAAAACAAACACAATGTCGGTTATAATCCACGATAAATTGTGAATTTTGGGAGCTCACATGAATATTTCTATGCGGGAAAGGAAGAAGTGATTTTACCTAAAACGACCAAAATTGAAGGCTATAAAGTCCGAGAGAAATCATTAATTGGGAAATCAAATAAATACTTCTGTGCGAGAACACAATGAGTAATATGGCTAAAAACGGCCTAAATTGTGGTTATAGTCCACAAGAAATCTGTGAATTACGGAGCTCCCATAAATATGTCGACATGGGAGCACAAGAAGTGGTTTGACCAAAAACATCCAAAAATTGTGGGTTATAGTCCACGACAAATCATTAATTTGGGAGCTCACATAAGTATTTCAATGTGGGAATGCCAAAAGTGATTTGACCTGAAACAGCCAAAATTGTGGTCATAGTCTATTAGAAATAGTCAATTAGAAATTTTTAATTTGAGAGCTTGCATAAACATTGCTATGCTGGAACGTAAGAAGTGATTTGGCCAAAAATGGCCAAATTTGTGGATTATATTCCACGAGAAATCATGAACTTAAAAGCTTGCAAAAATATTTCTATACAGAAATGCAAGAAGTGATTTAGCAAAAAGCAACCAAACATAAATGTTATAGTTCAAGAGAAATCATTAATCTTGGAGATCAGATAAATATTTCTATGCGAGAACACAATATTTTAATTTGGTGAAACGATTTATACATAACGAGAAATCATAAATTTGGGAACTCGCAAAAATATTTCCACGCGAGAACACACTAAATGATTTGGTCAAAAACATCCAAAATTGTGGGTTGTATTTCACAAGAAACAGTGAATCCGAAAGCTGACATAAATATTTCGATGTAGGAATTCAAAAGTGATTTAGCCGAATACGACCAAAATTGTCGGTTATACTCAACGAGAAATCATTAACTTGGAAGATCGGATAAATATTTCTATTCTAAAACACTAGATGCGATTTGACCGAAAATGGCCAAAATTTTGGGTTATAGTTCACGGGAAACCATTAATTTGTGAAAATGGATCAATATTTCTATGCGAGAATAGAAGAAGTGATTTGCCCAAAGACGGCCAAAACTTTGGGTTATAGTCCACGAGAAAACGTTAATTTGGAAAGTCAAATAAATATATTTCTATACAAGACCACAAGACGTAGTTTGACCGAAAATGGTCAGAACTTTGGGTTATATAGTCCACGAGAAATCGTTAATTTGAAAATTCAAATAAATATTTCTATGCGAGAACACAAGAAGTGATTTGGCCGAAAAAGGCCAAAACTATGGGTTATAGTCCACAAGAAATTGTGAATTAGGGAGCTCCCATAAATATTTCCATGTTTGAGCACAAGTGATTTGGCTGAAATCATCCAAAGTTGTGGGTTATAGTTCACAACAAATCATTATATTAGGAGCTCGCATAAATATTTCGATCTGGGAATGCAAAAACTGATTTGGCCTAAAACGACCAAAAATATATTCATAGTCAATGAGAAATTGTTAATTTGGGAGCTTGCATAAACATTGCTATGTGGGAACGCAAGAAGTGATTTGGGTGAAAACGACCAAAATTGTAGATTATATTCCATGAGAAATCACAAATTTGGAAGCTTGCATAAATTTCTCTAAACAGAAATGCAAGAAGTGATTTAGTAAAAAATGACCAAAATTATATGTTATAGTCCACAAGAAATCATTAATTTGGGAGATCAGATAAATATTTCGATGCTAGAAGGCAATATTTACTTTGGTGAAAATGACCCAAAAATTATGGCTTAGAGACTACAAGAAACCATAAACTTGGGAGCTCGCATAAATATATGGGCTATACTCCATGAGAATCATTGAAGATTGGGAAAATGTTTCTATGTGAGAACTTAAGTGATGACAGAGAACGACTAAAATTTTGAGTTGTAGTCCATGAACCAAAATTTTGGGTTATAGTCCACAAGAAATCGTGAATTTCGAATTATATGCATGTGGGAAAACGAGAAGTGCGTTTACCAAAAATATCCAAAATTGTGGGTCATATTCCATGAGAAATTGTGAATTTGGGAGCTCACATAAATATTTCTATGTGGGATCACAAGAAGTGATTTAGCCAAAATAACCAAAATTGTACTTTATACTCCACGAGAAATCGTTAACTTGGAAGATCAAATAAATATTTCTATTCAAGAAACACAAGAAGTGATTTGACTGAGTACGACCAAAATTTTGGGTTATACTCCATGAGAAATTGGGAATTTAGGAGTTTGATGAACAATTTCCATGCCAGAACACAAGAAATAATTTGGCCGAGAATGACCACAATTGTGGGTCATAGACCTAGAGAAATCATTAATTTGGGAGATCAGATAAATATTTCTATGCAAAAATACAAGAAGCGATTTGCTCGAAAATGGAAAAAAAATTGCGGGTTATAGTCAATGATAAATCATTAATTTGGGAGATAGAAAAAATATTTCTATGTAAAAATACACAATAATTTGGATGCAGACAGCCAAAACGGTGGGTTGTAATCCACGAGAAATGATAAATTTGGGAGCTTGCATAAATGTTTCTATGCGGGAGAGCAAGAAGTGATTTGCAGAAAATATCTAAAATTATGGGTTATAGTCCACAAAAATTGTAGGTTGAAGTCCACGTGAAATCGTGAATTTGGTATCTCACACATATTTCTATGTGGGAATGCAAGAAGTGATTTGTCCTTAAACAACAAAATTTGTAGGTAATGCTCCATAAGAAATCATTAATCTGGAAGATCGAAAAAATATTTCTATGCGAAAACATAGGAAGTGATTTTACTGAATGGATCCAAAATTTTGAATTATAGTCCACGAAAAATTATGAATTTTGAGAGATATATGCAGGCTGCAACATAAGTGATTTTGCCAAAAACATCTAAAATTGTGGGTTAGTACACGCGAAATCGCGAATTCACATAAATATTTCTATATGTGAATGCAAGAAGTGATTTTGCAAAAAAGACCCAATTATGGGTTAAACTCCATGCGAAATTGTTAATTTGCAACATGGGATAAATATTTCTATGTGGGTATAAATTAAGTGATTTGGCTAAAAATGACCAAAATTGGGTTTTGCTCCATGAGAAATCGTGAATTTAGGAGCTCGCAAAAACATTTCCATGCAGGAACACAAGACGTGGTTTGGTCGAAAATGACCAAAATTGTGTCATGGTCCTAGAGAAATCGTTAATTTAGGAGATTCAGATGAATATTTCTATGCAAGAACACAAGAAGTGATTTGCCCAAAAACGAAAAAAAATTACACGTTATAGTTCATGAGAAATTATTAATTTGGGAGATAGGATAAATATTCCTATGTAGGAATACAAGAAGTAATTTAGCCGTAAATGGTCAAAATTGTGAGTTATAATCCACACAAAATTGTAAATTTGGGGCTCACATAAATATTCCTATGCGGGAAAGGAAAAAGTGATTTTGTCGCAAACACCAGAAGTGATTTCGCCAAAAAACACCAAATTGTGGATTATAGTCCACAATAAATCGTGAAGTAGAGAGCTTGCATACAATATCTCTACGCCGGAGCACAAGTGATTTGGCAAAAAATATCTAAAATTATGGATTATAGTCCATGACAAATCGCGAATTTGGGAATCCGGATAAATATTTCTATTAGAGAATGCAAAAAGTAGGGCTGAGCACGGTTCGGTTCGGTTTGGTTTTTAACAAAATTTGAACAACCGAACCGAACCGTCTATAATTCAAAACCGAACCGAACTGTAGCAAGTCGGTTCGGTGCGGTTTGAACAACCGAACCGAACCGTCTATAATTCAAAACCGAACCGAACTGTAGCAAGTCGGTTCGGTGCGGTGCGGTTCGGTTTGTTCGGTTCTAACAAATTCAATGTAGTGTACAATGGAGGCATGCAAACCACTTACAGGTATCTAACTTCATAATGTGAAAAATTAGATACAGAACCTCTAACTCCTGAGCAAATTTAAGAACTGTAGCAAGTCGGTTCGGTGCGGTTCGGTTCGGTTTGTTCGGTTCTAACAAATTCAATGTAGTGTACAATGAGGCATGCAAACCACTTGCAGGTATCTAACTTCATAATGTGAAAAATTAGATACAGAACCTCTAACTCCTGAGCAAATTTAACAGAACCTCAACGCCTTGCTTCATAATGGGTACATACAGAACCTCAACTCCTGAGCAAATTTA